TATGACAATTTCGACCGTTAATTCACCAAGGGCAAAATCGTCCAACTTTTTCTACGTAACCTAAAACAGAAAACTTCCAACGCGAAAATGTTAGAAATGACGAGAGGAACAAACTGCCTGAAGACAGTTTCGCCGGAATCGCAGCCACGCGCCTCCACGCGCCGTCACCGGAATCTCCACGCGCCGCCGCCGGAATCACGCGCCGAACACCCAGCACCGCCTTCGTCTGCACGTCTCAACCCCGGTCTCCGTTTCACCAATGGACTTCTGGATTGACGGGAAAACGCGTTTGCAAGTTCGATTTTTAGTGCAAAAAATGGGCAGTCCGTTTTTTTGCTTTTCTGCCGGTTTCTGGTCGGTTTTTGGCTAGATTTTCACCACCACCAAGCTCTGATACCAATTGAGAAGCAAACCCACCTACAAATTAACCAAAACAATTGATTAGTGTAAGGATTTGCAAAGTAAATTGAAGAAAATCAAGACCAAAATCTGAAAATAAAAGGAGCGGTTTTCCCCTTTATGATTCGGCTCAGAAACTTGATCCACACCACAAAGGTATCTCCAATTTGAAGGCCATTATCAGTCACATAGACAGATTCACAAAGAAAAGGCAAGAGAAGATTGATTTGCACTAAGCAGGGAAGTTTTTCTTCCTCTTGTTTTTGGCTCTCGTTTTTTGTGTGTATAATGGAAGGGAAGAGTCTCCTATTTATAGGCTTATAGGAGGGAATGAATTTCACAGGAGTCTTTAAGATTAGATTGAATAAAAACTGCAAGATTATATCCAAACTGAAAGATAGAGCTCATCCAAAAAAAATGAGATAAAATTGGTTTGATAAAGATAACGATAATATTTATCCATCTTTCATGTGAATTTCAAATTCCCTCCAAGTTGGATATTGGGCATCTAATCCAATGAGCTGATTACCTCTAAATACCCAACATAATTGGGCTACTTCAATTGTGGTGTGGATTTAATTCTTCAATCCTGGGCTTATAGGCTATGAAGTTAGAACGGGCCTCGGTTTTTCATCATAGCCTAGGGGATTTGGGCATCACTTACCAATCATGCCCAACAGTTGATAAAAAAATTAATGCCTTTAAAAAATCATTGTTGGTCGATGAATGGCCAACAATTCTTTTTAAATCTTTCAACAACTGGTTCCACAAATACAAAAATTTATTTGATGGAGAAATTTTTTTTAATTTGTAATTTTTTGTAGTGGAAGCTAAAGCGAAATGATGATGACAATTAAATTGTAAGATGAGATTCCCTTATATTCTATTTGAAAAATATAGTTGTTTTGGTTTGGAAAAATGCTTCGCCTCACTAGAACAACAACAACAACAACAACAAGAATAATAATAATAATAATAATAATAATCGGAAAAAATAAAAATTGAGAAGAAACATATCACCACATATGTAAAATTGTATTCCACATATTTCAAGTATTAATAGTCCGTACATAACCTTAAATGACTAAGCGCTTGTTTAAGTCCCGTTGTTTTCATAAGAATGAATTTTTAATAGTATATTGATGAAAAATGTGTGGTTGAAAAATAAGGAAAAATTTTAGATTTGTGTATAATATTATTTTATTAAAAATGTGTGATTGAAATGATATCAAAATACTGTTTAAGAGTAGGGCTCAAACGAGGGCTAATAATTAACCACAAAAAGATGAATTGTAACTTCAACACTAGATTGAGTTGTCCTATTTACATCAAGTTGAGTTGTAGAAGGTGTTGACACAGGAATGAGTAATTTATTAGAGTGTTGTCCTTTCCCACAACGAGATGGACTTCCATTGCACGAGTTTGGAGGAATAGCAGGTGACATGTGCTTCGACTTTCTTTTTGGTTGCATCTCTATAAGCATTTAAAAAACTAGCAATGAGATCTATAAAGAAATGATATCTTACATAACCATTACTTCTTGCACTGGTAACGGAGATAAATAAATAATATTAACAACATTAAGTCCAATCTTATGTGCCAACCTTAATGTGGACTATAACAAACGTTGGAAAATTAAATTTAAACACAAAATTCAGCAAAAAAAATATGTGAGATACATCCCGCCATGTTTTCCGTCGACCAAGGCGAAGTTGGTTGTTGGAGCTTCACACCAGTGACCATTCTAGAATGGTTGCTGAAGGTAGATCATATTCAGCGATCACATTTGTTGTCGTGGTTGCTAAATAGCTAGAAAAATATGCGGGATACATCCTGCCACGTCTTCCAGCGACCAAGGCGATGTTGGTTGTTGAAACTTCAAACCCATTGACCATAGATTGGTCGCTAAAGGCGGATAATATTCAGCGACCACATTTTTGGTCGCTAAACAGCTAGAAAAATACGCGGGATACATCCTGCCATGTTTTCCAGCAACCAAAGCAATGTTGGTTGCTAAAGCGTCACACCAACAACCACAAAATGGTCACTAAAGTGCATTAAAATATTAATACTGCTTTAATAGACGAAAACTTTTACCAACCAATATTTGGTTGGTAATAATTCCTTATGGCAACCACTTTCTATTGATTGTTGAAACCTTGGTCGGTGGAGCCTTTTTTTGTAGTGCCTCATGCTTCTTGTAAATAAATAGTATCTTAAGATACTATAATTTGCAGTAGTATAATAAATTATATCATACATGGAATGTTGAATTTGACATTTTTAATTTTATGTTAGATTGAAATGTATTAACCTTATCGAAGTATACATATAATAACTTAGAGAAGATGTCAATCTTTGGTATTAGCTTCAGTCAACTATCTATGATTCTATATTTTACTACTTTGGTCCAGTTGAACTTCACATCGGTTTGCTTTGTCATTGCAAATTCATTTATTCAAAGATGGATGATTGAAAATTAGTTCAAGTAAACATTGAATATAGTTTTGAAAAAATAAAATAAAATAAAATAAACACATTTAACACATTGATATTACCTTCAAAATAATCCAGACTATACATTGCACGGACAAATGACTAATTTATTAAAAAGTTACGTCTGAATATTTACATATATGCCTAAGAGTCTAAAGTATAATTTTTTATTCATATTTCGTACCCACACGATGAGGATTTTATTCTTATATCGTACCCACCCGATGAGGAAAGTTCATTTCTGCACCCTCTAAGATATGGCTTATTTATTTATTTATTTTTATTTTTAAAATTTAAATTTTGGCAGTAGCAAAACATTTCACTTTTAGTGATAGAAATTAAAAAATAAATGAATAATAATAATAATAATAATAATAATAATAATAATAATAATAATAATAATAATAATAATAATAAATGGATGAGATATTGAACCAAATTAAGTCTTATTAAATTATCTAAAACAAATACAATCACCAAAATCTCGTAATAAAGAGAGAACCAAGACACTAACTTGAATGAAAACGTCAACAAAAAATCACTCGAGTTCTGGTTTTGTTTCTCAATCACCAGCCTTATCTTCCAACTCGATTGGGGGATTATGGCGATCAATTGGAAGCTTAATGTATCCCAATGAGCCTTGAGGGACAAGTTTCAGATTCTCACAATTGCATATTTCGATCATGAATCCATCAGGATCGTTGAAAAACAGTTGATCAATTGCACCCTCATCTTCATCGCCCACTGTTCTCTTTATGTACTTAATGTTGTGATCCTTCAGCTTCTGCTCCATGGCTTCCATATTCTCACACTATATATCACAACTAAATTGATAAGATGGTACTATAAGCAAAGTTTATCAAAATATGCTCACAGACAAAATTTAGCTTAAAATTCGAGTTTGAGTTTGGTTCAGTTCGGCAAAACATAAAACTTGGAATGGTCGAACTTGTACATTACATGAATCTTTGTATTCAACTTCTCCTCAATCATACACGTTTACCTTTTCCATGAATAATTTTGGAGATTTATTTATTAGTAGGACTTCGTTCGAGACCTTGTGTTCTCACCATTCTTATTCTAAAGAAATGATTACGGAATTTATAAAGAAGAATAATAGTGAATTACACCTTTACAAAATTTGTACATAGAAGTATAGTTAAAATTAATATTTGATTTTTATTATGAATGTATATTTTAAAAAATTGGAATTAAAAAGGGTTACCCAACCCGTGAAATAGTATTCTTTTCCTGAAAAAAGCTAGACACGAAGTGCTATAAAAATGTCATAGAAATAAAAATAAATTATTTTCATAACTTACATAGTAAAATTTATAAATATTAATAAATTCAAGTTCTAATTTCATTAAAATAAAAAATTCATGGTACAACAATCGAAGTCCATAAATATATCAATTTTTAACTAAAATCCGCAGTTATTATTGTGAATCATGAAAGCAAGACATAAATAGTGAAAATAGTTAGTATGCCATGGCTCCCAAGATTAATTAATTAGTCTGGGAAAATAAAAATCCGATGGTTCAAATAGTCTAAATATAGAATCTGTTTGTGTCATAGAAATTAATATTTGATTTTGGCATAATAGAAAAATTAACTTATTAACTACTTTTAATTGACACATTCACAATTACTATCAGTGTATTATTAGGGTTGGCAACGGTTAGGGTTGGCAACGGTTCGGTTATGGGTCGGTTCGGCCAAGACCATAACCACACCACCAATTTTTTAAGCATACCATAATTGCACCATAACCACGTAAATCGGTTCGGTTCGGTTCGTATCTTGGTTCGGCACGGTTCGGTTTCATTAATAACCACGAAAATAAATTATTTTTTTATAGGGTTCATCCGTCAAATTGATATAAAACAATTTATGAAAAAAGTCAATGAAAACAAAAACATAATATTCCAAAGAAAAATGCAAACATTATCAAACAATATTCCAAACGTAAACGCAAACATTATCCTAATTTTCAATTGTAAAATACAAATTAAACAAACAATATTATAAATATAATAATACTAAACTTTTCCTTCATTCTTAATTATTGTACTTCGAAATTATTTGATTCATTCTTCCCTACACGTCTTACTAGCATAGATCAGCATTCAAAGTTGATTCCTATTCATCCTTTGCAATACTGGCACGTCAAGAAAAACATCGAACTCTGTTTTTATATGATCAACAGTAATAGAATGACTAACAAATGTAACAAATTTTCGGAGGTGATGACGACTTGGACAGTAGAGGCAGTGGAGCCGTGCGTGAGTTTATGGTTTGTGGAGAGTAGGGTTTGTATTTATATAATGTTATACTAATGCTATTATGGGGTAATGGTAAGTGGGCTGGCCCAATGAGTCAAGTAGATGTAATGAGGAGTGGAGGGATTTTGTTTAGGTTTGGATAGAAAAGTAGTGTAAAGTCCATAATCAATTCAATTGTGTTTTTTTTTTTTTTTTATTTTTTTTTTAGCGAGTAATCGGTTCAGTTTCGATTCGACGACCTAAATACTATACCCGCACCATTACAAACCGGTTCATTAAAATCAAAACCATATCCGCCCCATTGCACCATCGGTTCGATTTTTTTTGCCCCATTCAGTTCGGTTAACCGCGATTTTAGATTTTAACGGTTCAAATTGTCATCTTTATGTATTATTAGGTCACTACCATTCCTCTTTAAAAAAGTTAACAATAATATTACACAGAGTCATAAACAAGTATAATTATTTTAATAATGTTCTATCAGTTTTTTCACCACAATGTCACAACCAAGTATAATTTCTAATCAAGATTGTTCAAATGTTTTGGTTGAATGTTTTCCAAAAAATTCCATTAACTTCCATATTTGTGAATATTAAAGCCTGTTTGGCCGGGATTAAAATTAGATTTTTAGTAAATTTTGATAAAATTTGATTAGATGCGTGGTTGAAATAATCAAATAATGCAATGGAAATAATTTATAAAGAGCCTCATCTGCACAAAATTGAAAACTACAAGTTGAAAACAGATATTCCATTCTATGTACTGAAATAAATGAACTCAAAATTAAGTAAACCAATACATGTAGGAACCTGAAAGGAGATATGATTGTCCATGGGATCCAAATTCTCCCTATCTTGCGGCAACTTCTCGTCATCCTTAGCATGCACCAAGTGAATTCCAACTCCATAATTGAACAGCCACGCTCCGTCGAAATCAAACGCCTCCGGCCTCTCAATCAACACGAAGCCAAGAACTTTCGTGTAAAAGTCGACCGAATCTTTCACTGAGCTGCACACTCGAGAAACATGATTCAGTGCCAACAAAGGGATTTCATGCTCTTTTCCTTGCTTTTGTTCTTGCTTTTGTTCATTTTCCGTTGTCTGATCCTTTTTGCACTGCATTTTTGTGTTTTTGATTTTATGTGTTGCGTGAAGTAAATGAAAAACGGTGGCTTTTCATAAAGCTAGGCATGCCGCATAGAGAAGAAGGCGGGAGCTGACGCGTGGGGGGAAGTGCATGGAAATGCTGCACGTGTTAGCAAATTAGGGAACCATGCAAGCCTCAGGTGTCACTGCTCTAAATAATTAAAAAAAAAAAAAATTAAAGATCAAAAAGATATTTGGTTTAAGAATTCCAAAATAAACAAATAGTTTTATTCTTCTATTTTAAAAATAAAAATTAGAATATCCGTAAATTTTGTTCAAGCTAAGTTGGTTTTCCGGTGAGCGTTGGCGTAGGCATTTGCAAACTGCAATTACCTGGAAAACAAAGTGAAGTAGGTGAAAATACCGTTAAAACTCTAAGGTGAAGAAAGAAGTTGGAGAAACCGTAACAAAAATATGTAGAATATCAAATCAAATCTAACGAATTAAAAATAATAAGTCGTAATGTCTGAGGCATGTGCTATCACTTTTCTTAACACAATATTCGTCCCCACACGAGTGATGCATATAGGTAAGCAAAGAAGCCTTCAAGATACAATGTATTCTGAATAAAATGTATGTATTGTGCATGAACAAAAAGAACATCGAATATAAAGGAAAGAAAAAGCCACTTGAGAGATGAAAAGGTTTATGTGAAACCACTGGATCAATTTGTTTCTTAGTGAAAAGTTGACCTCACATAGAATACATTGTGCACTAGAATGATGACACTTGCACGTGTATCGATTGAAGAATTTTTCATGTGCTCATGCAACTGAAGTGGCTATGCATAGGGACTTCCCACTATACAATTTATACTTTCATTATTACATAGCTGATTTTGGAGAGCAACGTATGTCGAAAGTATATTTTTCCTGCCAAAATAAACCGAATGAGAAGTTCTCAATCAAATTATCCCACTTAATAATTTATTGTCACCTAAAGTTGGAACGCGTACTCTTAGACATAGATGTACGAATAGAATATCTATTGAAGAGTTTCCTAGGCTATGTAAATGCACAAGTTTGGCAATGGGGCATACTTGTCGATTTTGTTCAAGTTGTCCCCTTCGCAATAATTGCATGGATGTGTAGTTTATATTTAAATCTTTAATTATATATTTTTATTATCGTAAAATATTCACAATTTGTTGTGTAATATTTATTATTTAAAATTAGTATTTTTTTTTATTGAACTCTTTAGTATTTGCAAAGAAATATGATAAATATTGGCTTATGGCGGTCCACAAACATTATCCTCCTCGCTTGTGATAGCAATCTTAACCTCTTTACTACAGCCTTGAGTATCGGCCTATCCACAGTACACCTTCGACCCTTCGTCACTCTTGTCACCTCTTCCGTCTCCATCATCACATCCTCCATCCCCTTCTTCATAACCCCCATCTTCCTCATTCATCACACTGTTGTATCATTCGATGCCACTGTCGCATCCTTCGATTCCTCTCTGTTACCTTCTCCATCACCCTCTACATTACCATCATCACATCCTGTATCATCCCCATCACATCCCCCGTCACCCTCTCATTTCTCCCCATCCATCATATCTGTAATCTGCCTCTCATCCAATATATATGCAATCTATCCTCATTATCCTCTTGTCCTCCCTCACCACTCTTGTTATCTCCTCTATCACCACCTTTGTCCTCCCTCGACGTCTTCCCATCCCTATGATGATGAGATCTTGCCCACTTAATTATGGAGTCCAACTTATTATCTAACATCTTACATCTAATCGCAGGATCTCCTGGCTCCGATAGTAAAACTCATGGCTCATAACGTAGAACTCCTATATCATCTCGTATAACTCCAGTCAGATACCTATTGAGATGCTCAATCAAATCATTTGAAAAGGATCGATGTTGTGTTGGAGATTGATGAGATGATGGAGATTACTATGGTGTACGAGATCAACGGAGTGATGGAGATTGACGAGGTGAAGGATCTCCATGGGGTTGATGGAGCTCGATGGGGGTAAAAATGTAGTCATTGATTTTCCCCAAGAGTTCACAATTGCCACGAGCAAACATATTAATGATGAGGCATTTTTGTTATGCTACTAATGCTAGTACTTGTTCTGCTATTTTGCCCATGTCTGGCTAAGGAGATTGGTGTTGTGTAATAGATCAACGAGGTGAACGAGATATGTGGAGATGGAGCTCTCCGTTCAATAGGAAATCATTCTTACATAAATAAGAAAGTTGACAATTAGTACATTTAATTCACATATCACTACAAAAAAAAATATAAATTACAAATAAAGCACATGTAATAATATAAAACATAAAATATTATTCAACCACTCATTTTTCAAGAAAATATTATTTCACCCATTTTCATTTCTAGAAAATGGGGGGTCTAACCTGGGCCAAGCCCTTGTTTGAGCCCCATTTTAACGAGAATAATGCATTTTAAAATAGTAATTGATGGAAAATGTATAGTTAAAAATTAAGGAAATGTTTTGAGTTTGCATATAATATTATTTTATTAAAAAATATAGTTGAAAATGAGTTTTGAAAAAACGAAGCTTGTGAAGAATGGGGCTCAAACAAGGGCTAAATTGAATCCTGATATCAATTGAATAGGAAGATAGGTTAGATGCGAACACGATAGAAATGCTTGAAGGGTAAGATGGGCACATGATTTCCCGAAACGGACAACACATAGGAGTTAATGGCTTGAGCACATGTTCGGATTGTTACTAAGAGTCCGTTTGATTGTTACTTATTGAGTCAATAAACATACATAAAATATAAAATACAAATATAATACTCACTCGAGGATCATCTATGTTAGTGGACACTTCTATTTCATTTGAAATGTCTATTGCTTTATAATGATGCATTTAAGGGAACCTCTTGTCCTTCTTCCTAATTGTCCACTTGTCAGCTAAAGCAAGGATCGCTTCGTATGTCCATGTCTATAGCACGTACAATTATTTTATAAGGTCTAACATTTACATGCTTGGCAAATGAAAAGCCATATGTATCATATTTGCACTTGTTTTTAATGACTTGGGCATCAGATGTCACCTCTTGAACTCATGCAATGTATCCATAAAATATTTTCAACCCCATGAATTTTTATTGAACGCATCAAGATCATCAACAATATCTAACAAAAAAGATCAAATTGATGTTTTATGATGTTTGCACTTCAGCCCATTCTTTAGGATAAACATTAGTCCTAGCTTTAATTTATTTCAGCAACTCTCTAATGAAGTCTCTAACTGTGCATGAGTAATTGCAGACCTTTCTCAAAAATATTTATTCAAGAGTTTTTTATTTCATTGAATATTTGGCTTCACATCTTCTTCACTTCCTGAGTTTTAACTCTTAACGAGGGTTAACTCAAATATTGAGTATTTGCCTACCTTTCCATCCCATAACCCAAAACACAATACATTACCTTCGACTGATTTAAGCAGCCAAAATAACAGACTATCAATGATCTCCTCGAAAAATTGCATACGCCTCATTTGATGTAGTTTTCCACAGGGATGACAGGCTCAATAGAACTTAATGATCATCATCCAATCCCTTTAATACCTTTCTAAGACTCAAATAATTGCAACATGACATAACTTTCTCGAGATCTTCTCTCAATCTAGTGTCGAGAGCGTACTCCATTATACAATAACTTACAAATGTTAATAACTTACTAACTTATAAGAAATTATAGAATAATGCATATCCAGATAAGTAATTATATACTATCAATAAGCAAGAAGTAAATTCGTCTTGTTGCACAATTATATAACATTTCATTTGAAAAAGAAAAAAATGGTAAAACATTCTACCGCACCGACTTTGAATGGTCGGTGAGGTGAACCTAACCGATGCCATCATGAAGGATGAAGGCCCTCTCCCATTTCATTCATTTTCCATGTATTCTTCAATTTCAAGCAAATTTACACCTCAATACATTAATTTATAGCATAAATAACACGATCCATCAACATTAGAAGTAAAAAACTCAAAGATTGATTCACCACTTAAACAAATCAAGAAAATAAACTATTAAAACAGAATTTAACCTTGAATATTAGCGAACAAGATGGAGATCTAGATGGAGATGAAGATGAAGATGAAGTCTCAACTTGACAATCAAACACGCTTGGGTAGATTTCGACCGGTCTTGTTTTGCCTCTTCTTTTTCTCTCTTTTGTAATGTTCAAGTGAGGGGTAAATGTGAGATTTAAGGTTTTCTTCCTTTTTTTAAAAAACTCCTGACAAAAAGGGGTCAAAAGCCTTTGTGGTAAATGTGCCTATTTCCTAGAGTCTAAACTTCCATCTTTGGGCTTTTATTGGATATCAATATGGGAAAATTACACGCATACCTGATTTTTAAGTTCTCAATTCAAAAAATAAAGTTTTAAACTACTTGTTCAAAAATCAGGTGATAGTTTATTTTTAAATATTCATAATAATATTATAAAATTAATTAATCTACCCATCCCACCACATCCTCCCGACTCATTTAAACCCTCAAATCCTAATTCATTTCCCCCTACCGATTCTCTCTCTACCTTCTCTCTCTTTATCCCTCACTCTTCACCCACCCAACACCTTCCTATTCCGATGCTGCTCCTCTAGTATGGCAATATCGTCGATCGCGTCAATCGCGGACGATGAAGTAGCATCCTGGGGCGCAGTAGTGCCTCACTACCAGGCGGTGCTGCCACTGTGCATAGTGATGACTAACAGTGTCGCCTTCAACACTGAATATAGATTGAGCGCAGTGGTGCCGCTGCTACGTCTCACAGCCGTCACCTTCAATAAGATTTTTTTTCTTTGATCCGATCTGGTTGTTTCAGGTGTGGTGTTCTAGCAGGTGATGGCGATGGTTGTGGTAGTTTTAGCGGCGGTGGTGCGGGTGGGGATGCTACAGTTGGTGCTGGCGAGGTAAAATTGTAGTTGCCGAAATTTGGTAGGACTTTGTTGTAATTCTCAGCACTGACAGCGACCAT